TACGCCTACACAAATGGCCTACACGATTCAAAATGACTGTATTCTTGTGCAAATGTATTAGATATAGATTATAATGTCCTGCGGGGTGTAACAAGAAGACTTGACAGAAAATAATCAACTTTTTTTGTAATCAATATTTTTAATATAATTATATATGTATATATATTGACTCGTGCATTACACGCGTTTTATAAAATATTTTTTGTTTTTATTTTTTAATACTGATAACAATACAAAATGATTCTATGTCCATTTTTCTATCCAAAAATGATATGAAAATTGGTGACAAACGCATTTTAATTGCATTAATCATTTTGAAAATGACCTAGTTAGCTTTTTGAGAAATCGAAAATATGACATTTATGAGATAAATACGACACCATAACTGACTATATAGTTAGTTGTTCCCGATTTTCGAGTCCCACAGCAGCAGTCAATGCACTGTATATAAATAATGACCTTATATTGATGTATCGAAATCGTAAACAGAATAACCGACAAATTAATGTTACAAACGGTAGAAGATTTTGGAGCGAATATTACATACGTACCGAAATGTACCTGTGTCTGTTGGTGGTGCGAATTAAAAGTAATAGGTACAATTGGCGCAAAATATCATCTCAAATATTATTATTTATTTGATTTAAAGAACACGATCGTTATAATAATATAATAATTACGAAAACATGACGCAAAATGACGCATGTGCGATGTACACAAAACGATACGATCCCCGTTCGAAACGCCAGGACGACGATGGCCGTCGCCGACCGTTTGTCACTGCAATGATAATAATAATAATAACAATAATAATAATAGTATAACGTACACGGTAGTAGTTGTAGTATATTACATATATAGTTGTGCGCTTAGCTATTATAAGCTGCAGCGACAGTAACCCGAAATAAGCTTTCATTCCGATTAAAACGTTCGTCGACCCGCGGGATTCTGCTATTGTATATAATATGACGTGCGCCATACTGCTTGTGTAGTATACCTCGTCCGATGTAATTTGATAAATTGCACTGGAATAAAAGCCACACGCCGCTGCTCGTCCTGCTCCAAAGTACCCGCACACACACACACACACACACACACACACACGCTCGCATACAAATTGCACCTCTTCCTGCGTGTGCGTGTTTGTGTGTGCTCGCCTCCACCTCTCGCCCATTATCATTATTATTTTTTTTTTTTTTTGTTAAGCGCGGGGCGAAGGACGAGGACTAAAATCCTGCGTCGTTCGAGCCAATAATAATATTGTATGTACACATAGCATATTATGTATTTTTATCCGACGGTGCCCGAGGCTACTGCAGTGGCAGGTTTCCCGGGTAACCATATATGACGATGTAAGTACTACCTATATCTATACGTTATAAGAATTAATAATATCGCGTATATATTATGATGTCTGGCAGCGGCAGCGGCAGCAGAAGTATAATATTATTATAAACGATGCCATTAAAAAACAAAAAAAAAAAATAACATAACATATCGTGTATTATGCACAGCGTGTTTTCGGGGGAAAATTATACCTATTCGCGGAAGGTTTTTTATTTTCCGGAAAAAAGGGAAAATATGAATTTCGGATATATATATAGGTACTACCCTTTGGGAAGAATAAAAACACGTATACCGACGGGCAACGACTGCCATTATACACTGCACGCGGTCGCCGCTGTTCGCATTCGAATGTACTTTCCTCGCCCCGTAAATATACCTACCCCTTTATCTGGGGGTAGGAACAAACCGTGTCGATGATTTCTATAATCCTCCGCATTATTCGTGCGATAAGCATGATTTTATCGGGATTAGCTCGTCTGCCGACCGTAGACACAGTTACTTTAAACCATGGCAAAATGGATAGTCACTGCGGTCGTAATGGTTATTTTCAGGTTACCTTGGGAGATCTTCACCTCAGACCCGTGTCGTAGTTCGCCATTTCTGCTCGGTTGACTTGTGTCTATATGTTATATATTTTAATACGTATGTATGTGACCGAAAGGAAATAAGAAGTGGAGAACTACGAAATTGGCCAAGTAAAGTGAGGTGGCTGACGAAAAAACTGTGATGATATCTATCTATTTCGGCAATCTTCAAACTATAATAATTGCTGATAGCAATAGTAATAGCAGTGATAATAAATAATAATAATAATATAATATTGGACACTGGTCTTATACTCATATGTCTGCACTGTATCGGTGTTTCAGAAATACAATAATCTATATTATAATTAACGGGTTATTTAAGCTATGAAGATTAAGTCTTTTATCATTTAAAATTGATAAATTTCAATAAATATTTACATTTTTCGAAATCTTCAACACTTACTAAGATTAAGATAATAATATTATGTATTTAAACAATTTATGTCAAGACAAATAACGTTTTACAAAGAATAAAATTATAAATATATATCTCGGATTGACAAAACTATGAATTAGAAATTAGAAATAATAATATAACATTGTAATCCTTTTACACTTTAATCATAGAGATTTTTGCGCAACACTGCCGCCGCAAGTCAAAATCAATATTTTACATTATTATAGTGGTGGTTTTGCAACAGCAATGTTTATTTAATTATTTACCTGCAGTAGTTTTAATATTATAATAGCTTCGTTGTTTGTATTTATCGTACGGTTTTTAAAATTTAATGGTTCCCGCAGGTATAACCGAAAAACATGGCATTCGGTGAACCGACACAAATTCCAAATGGATTTAATTTCAATACAACTACCTATTTTATAGATATTATATGTATAAGTATCTATAATATTCGATATTATTTTTTGTGTTTGAAATCTAATAAAACTATTAGCATTATATTACAATAATTTTTATGCAATTTGAAAATATTGATGGTTACTATGATAATATTATAGTATAAACTTTTTTTTTTGTTCGATGATTCAAATGCTGATTAAAAAATTAAAGATCATTTTTAGAATAATTATAATGATCCGTTGAATGGTACATTTCTATACTGTCAATGGTGTTATAAATTTCAAACGAGTACGTTATTTTTATAAACGATAACTATAAGCATATTTACATATTATGATAAACTGCGACTGTGAATAATTAACTTTTAAAAACATTTCGATTTACAAAGTAGGTAATCGCATAATTTAACATTTATCATTTGATAGTATCATACTCAATATTCTGATGGTCCTATATGTGTATACAGCGGCGTACACAGCTATTTTCAATGGGGGGGGCTTACATATAAAAAATTATATACATATATATATTATACATCGATAAATCAAAATAATATGTTGTTCAACTAATATTTATTTTCATTATTATAAAACAATGTCTATTTTCCTGGGTTTTTGTCCCAACTCATCAATGACTTCTTCAGGAGTTAAATTTATATCACGGTATACCGATCAATCCATTTAATCTGTCCTGTGTAAATAATTATTTTTCAGTTTAAAATATAATGTTATAATATAATGGAGTATAATTTGGAATATCCCATATCTAATAAATAATAATAATTATTATTAAATAATAACTTCGGTGACGACGGTCTTCTCGCCGCACATTTTTAATCGAAACTCGATTGTGATGGTAACACTGAAATTCCCTTAATTTAATTTTGTATTTATTTTTATTAGTACTATTAATTTTTTTTTTAAATTGTCATCATTTTTATTATACATTTTTATGTAATTACGTAAACTGAAAAAATACTAGGGGGGGTGTGAACCCCCTCCCCCCCCCGTGTGCGTGTGTGTGTGTGTGCCACTGCTTTCAAGCCAAGGCCAATTAAATAAAACGGTCTTAGGTGGATTTTTGCTATGAATTAAACATTCTTTACACCCCATATTGGCAATTGTCGAATTCCGTCCCAGGTTGCTGAAAATGACCGAGTACCATCCCGGATGTGGAGAAACTATATCCGAATTCCGTCCCGGCTAGGTTGCACTATGGCTATTTATTGCAGTATGGCTCGCATTGCAATATTGCATATGAAACAGTGGTAGGTGATGAAGGCAAAACTATAATAATCGTTGAAGGCGTGAAATTTCGTTGATAGAAACCGTTAGTAAATAATGTAATTAGGTGAATATGCAGTACTGCCAGTACTCATAAAACATATAAGTGTTATTTAAAAATTAACGAAAATGGCACGTGCTCGAGCGATCGTTTATTGATCCTTTAGTACCTTAACCATGAAAAAGGTAATATCCAGCAGACCAGCAAAAAGCAAGTAATTCAATAAAATGAAAAACAGTCGATGATCTTTCTGTCCGACCATCAAAACTTCTGCAGACTAAGTTGCAAAAATCGGGTTCCCCGTTCCCTTAACCTATCAATTCAAGCTGTTACATTGATAAGAAATAACGTTGGTTATTCTAGACTTGCCCATTTACCAAAACTACCGAAAACTTTTTCAGAATCTTATAATGCACTGAACGATATGACATTACAGACAAACTAAAATGAGACGTTTTTACTTCATAACGATGCCGATAATAATATTGTCTGTTTTTCAACCGATACAAGTATAAAAAAATTGACCAAATGCTCAAAAAGTCAAAAGTCACGGCTGATGGAACATTTTACAGTTGTCCTAACCCTTTTCTACAAGTGTTTTTGCATTCATGGGCTGGCTAATACATTTTTATAGGTAGGTACCGTTGATTTTTGTTGTCAAATAAACGTTTTAAATTTGTATTTTTAGTACATCTATTTAAATGTTTAGTTACATTATAATATCTAACTCTACCCTTCCACCACAAAAAGCTCAATGCTATAGAATTAAGAACACTCAATCATCTCGACCACTGTCCACTCCAATTTCAAAAAAACAATCAATAGTATATAGGTTGGTATGTTTAACTATTTGTAAATTATAATGGTCTAGAACGTTTGTTTATACTGTTTACAGAACGTTAAAAAACATTTAACAAGTAGGTATAAAACATTATGTGTACCTGCCTTTTTTATCGATAACTTTAGGTCAATATAGGTCAATCTAGGTTGTTCCTAGTACCTACCCTATCGGCCATCATTAAAGCTTTGTTGAAAACAGTTATTCTATACTTGTAGAATGACTAGAATGTAATTTTTAATGATATGATACATAATGTCATCTTCTATGTAGGTACCTAATTATTCTTATCTGTTTTCGTGGAACTCTGACTAATCTTATATTATTAGGTATATAATATTATGCTATTTATATAACTTGTCCAATTTACCCTATAAGATTCCCCGAGATGTGGCTTGTCCAATCGTTTTGGAAACTGTGCGGTGTGTTCAATACGGATTTGACTTACAATAAATTCCAAAACGTGTATTCAGTGTTTTTAATCGTTACTTGCGTTTACAATTTTATTACCGCGTCGAATACTTTATGCAAATTAGACCAGTGGTGTAACGTTTTCTCGACGGCCATGATCGGCATGTACACTAGGGTGTTGGCGTCTACCACTCTTCTGTCGAGGATCGCCATAATGATTAAATCAAAACAGAGTTTACTCAAGTACAAGGAAACTATAAAGGCTTTCGAAATGTATTCACCGACGTCATGTGCGCAACATAAGAACTACAAAATATTTTCGTTCGCCGTCGTTTTCGTGTGCCTGAGTATAATTTTACCGATAAACATAAGCCGGTTGTATTATCTGTACCAAAACGAGACCCACGACATATCGTTGTTCATTTACTATCTGTTCATATACATTCAAAACCTGAGCATGTGTTGCATAGAAACGCAATTTGTTACCCAGTGTTTTATAATCTACACCAGATTCCGAGGAATCAATGATGATTTGAAAAAACTACGAAACGAAAACGTCAACTACATCAAGTACCCGTTCATAATGGGATCTTCGGCAACAATGTGGAAAGATTACAAAAAATCGTTCCAGTGCGTCAGATATGACAAAGACTTTTATCGGCCGCGGCTCATTAGCCACCCGATGGCCAACGCTGTGGAGGTACTTAGAATTAAGCATTGGCTAACTCGCCAAGCCGTGGACATCCTCAATAACCTGTTGGGTATCCAGATGGGACTGTCGGTGTTCTTATTGTGGGTAATGGCCTTGTTTGATATCTATTATGAGATATTTCACAACTCTCCGTCTAAATTATTGGTCTACGGTTGGTTGTTTCAATACACTCTGAGATTGTTCATGATTATCTTAGTAGCACACTACACAACGAAACAGGTATAGATAATAACTAATAATAACTATAAAATAAAAAGCCTAATAACTAATAGGTATAATTGTATAAATGTATATCTGTATAAGTCAGAAGATAAATAAAAATGCAGCGACACTGCGCTCCTTAGCTGATCGTTATTTTAAGCGTTAGAGAGCCTTAATAGAAACATGTTTAATCATTGACCATAAATATAAAAATATTAAAATATAGTAATATTTATTATCAATGGTTTAATTTAATACCCGGCCATGCTGTGTACCCTCTATTAAATCATCGTAATCCTTTTTTGGGCTTAAAGACAAACGGCTAGTTATAAATTATAACAGCTTTTTCCGAAAGGATGACACTGCGTTCAGACTTCGCAGCTGTAGGCTCTGATACATACTTATTTTGTACCTTATCTAATAGTCTAAATCACCTATTTCACATTTTAGACTGAAAATCTAAGTTAATGCTAGAAGCAAATATTAGTAGGTATACATGCTAATTTTACACTTATTTTAGGCAGTAAAATCAAAATCGATCATTTTAGATACGAATAATCAAATGTTGGACGATAGTACAAAGGAAGAGGTAAACAAATTAACCACGTGACTATTTCTTATAATAATTATAATAATGTTTCATCTTTGATACAATATTATACATAGTGTTTTCACTGATTTACATGATTTTAGTTGTTGCTGTTTGTGAATCAAATACGCCATCAGTCTATTGAATTTACCGCGTACGATTTTTTCACATTGAATACACAGATTATAAAATCGGTAGGTGTAAATATGTTATAAATAAAGTTATTATATCTATTTGACTAGGTGGGGATAGTAACAAATTACATATTGCTAAAAAAAAAAAATAGATATTATAGATACCTACATCACTGCAATACAATTTGTTGGCAATAATGACAATATTTTTGCTCGAGCGGGTGAATTTTTCATATAATAATAAAATTCCATTTACCTAATACTTAATTCGTAGTAGGCATTATTTTCAATATTAATCAAATAAAATCAATTAAAAACTGTCTACTCATACTACACCATAGTTCGTTGTGCCTAAATTGAGTAAACTGTCACTTTGTACTGTCGGGTAAAAAATAAAGTGTTTATTTCATAAAGCGGACACTTTGTACTCTGATATACATAAAGTGTATATTGTATAATGTATATATAAGTTATGTACTTAAGTAGGAAGTAAATATATAAATGATTATTATAGATAACTAGTAGATGACAAGTCGTCTTCTAGAAAAACACATAATATCTTTATAAATATAAAGATTTATTGCACATTATTTTTTTTATTCTTATAATCGTCAAATTATATGTACTATATGTACCATCTAAAAATAATAAAAACTAAAAACGAATAATTAATGACTAGGTAATTATTAATCAATGTTTTTTTTATTACTTTTTATAGGCTATAGCTGCTGGTACAACCTATCTGGTAATATTAGTACAATTCCATTCATAAAAAATAGTAAATTGCTTAAGTATTATATTATAAATATTGGCCAATCTTAGGCCTTATGCAGGTACATTTAGTTTTATTAATTAGTCCAAATTTGAATACAAAAATATTTATTTATATTTATGTATTTTATTATAATATATGATTTGTAGTTAAAATATTTATAATATATAAAAAATTAGTGTTTTATCGTTTTAATTTTTAATGCTATACATATAATATGATGTTTGATTTTTAATTAATATGGTAACAATAATAATATATACTATGTACTTATATTATATATGAATAATAATTATTAGTTTATTATAATAAGTTAAGAAAATTATCACATTGTGATAATTTAGCACAAACAGTTTTATATAGATATACGTGTCTGGTTTATGTATTTTTATTGTACCACCAGTATTTCATACAATTAATATTAAACTTTTTAGTTTGGTTGAAAAGGAAATCGACATTTTTTAAATTTGAAAAAAATTAATCCATCAAAAACGGTTATTATGCCCTAATTTATGTCGCCTGTGTTTGATTTCAAATCAGTATTCAGTTCTGTATTTTATTGAAAATATTATTTTGAAGCAATTTTATTCTTAAAAAAAACATTATCTTGTCCTAATGGTTAATTGTACAGCCAACAAATAATAACTGGACTCTGAATTTTGATCTACATCGTGATTTCTGAAGCACCTTATTAGTTATTTCATAGTGATATATTTAAAGTACGTACCTAGGTACCTATTACAATAATAATTTTTTTTTAGACTTATACCCGATTTTTACCTCTATAAAATATTTTGTTTTCCTCGTGATTAATTTAAAATTTATAAACCTGCAATATGGCACTATGTATAATATACATCGCTCATTTTAATATCATATGAGAATTATTAGGTAGATTTATCGTTTATTATAAAATAATTAATAAGTCAATAAATTGTCAAGTTGATATGTTACTCTGCTATATTATGTACCTATATCGTTGGAATTAAAATATAATAAAAAATAAAGTGATCGAGTAAAAATAGTGTGTCAAACGTCAAGTCGAGTAGATGTACCTATATTTGATGTTTCCTTAATTTAATAAAGTATTCATTTTTCGTTTAAGTATATTATATAGGTATTATAGGTCAGTATAGTCGTATAGATATATATTATACTATATGTCTATACACATACGCATACATATATACTTACATACATACATACATACGTCATACATACATGCATACATTCACACAAACCTAAGAGAAATGAAACGAAACAAAATTAAATGTAACGAATAGTCTCAATTAAACTGGACACCTCCAACCAAACGTAACATTATAAGTCATAGTATATAGCCACTTGCGGTTATATATTATATATTATTGACATTTGCTATATCGTTATATATTATACTAAAACCTGTAAAAATAAAAATAAAGGGCGTGATTACACGAAATCTACTATCGGAGCTGTATATTATTATTATAGATCTTTCAAACGTCGTCATCCGCCACAATAATAAATGGTAATAAATAATAATAAAATGTCGGTTTACTGGCCGATCACGTTGTTTTGGAAGGCGTTCGGCGTGTTCCCTGCAGCAAGCGTACAGGGTGGCCTCCGGAACAGTAACACGTCACTACCGATACTGTCCACCGTGCTGCTGTTTGCGTTGAGTTTGTACTCGCTGTTCGCCGCGCCGGTGATCGTGTGTCAGATTGGCGAGAAGTGCACCAGCGAGTCGATCAGGATCCTGAAACAGATCTACCCGGGCGTAGTTAACGTGACGTCGATGCTGTCGAGGATCGGGCTATCGTACTCTGTAACGGTGGGATTCGACAAGTACATGGAGACGATGGAGTGCTACGAAACGTACTCACCGACGACGGTGGCCGAGGCCCGCAGGTACCGGATGTTCACGGCCGTGGCCGTGTACGCGTGCCTGCTGCTGGTCATACCGGTCAACTTGTTGCGGTTTTGGTTACTGTGGACGGACGCCTTTGACCCTGTGATGGCGATCGTCTTCTACGCGTTCGTCTACGTCCAGAACGTGACCATGTGCTGTTCGGAGACGCAATTCGCCGAACAGTGTTTCGTGTTGTACTGCAAGCTGAAGATTGTCAATGACGATGTCGCCTCGCTGGGCGGGCCCGAGGGGTTGGCACGTTTTTCCAGACACTTTCGTGCGACCGCTACAGCAACACCCGATGAGCCCAGCACTGCAGCTTCATTCGATCCTGCAGATGTAGCGGTCGCCGTCTCTGAGATACAGAACCCATCGGACAGCGTTGTGGCTGCAGCCGTCTCAGTCGAGACGCTTCGGATCAGACACTGGCTGCTGCGTGAATCTATCGGCTGTCTAAACCACCTGTTCGGCGTACAGCTGGGCATGTCGGTGTGCGCGCTGTGCGTGATGTCGTTTTTCGACATATATTACGGGACATTTCACGTAATGGGTGAATACGCCTTGTCTAACCTCATCATATACTCCTGGATGCTGCACTATGCAGTTCGATATGCGGGCATCATCTTGATGTCACATTACACCACTAAGCAGGTGGGTACGACCCATGATTCACATATTATCATAGTCGAAATTTGGGGGGGGGGGACTTGGAAGGGATTGGCTCCTCCAATATTAAAATTAGCCCCTCCAAAAATTTATATTTTAATTGAAGTATTAAATCCTTCATTAATTATCTAATCTACATAATACAGTAAATGTTGTTTGAAAAAAATTGTTTCTAAAGATTAAATCTGGAAACATGAAACAAGCCCGTACAAAGTGCAAGATGCAGAGCTTTATTCTAATTTATATAAACTGTTATCATTACCCTTAACAATTCCAATTAGCTCTGCAACACGTGAAAGATCATTCTTAGCAATGACTCATTATTGCCAACGAGAAATATTAAAAATTGGCTTCGAACATCTATGAATCAAGATAGATTTACAAATTTGTCATTGATTTATATAGAACGAATGTATCAAATGAATTGTCCAACGAAAAAATATTAGATAAATTTTGCAATTTCTAACGAAAGGTTCCAATTATAATAATATACTTAATAAATAAATATATATTGCATTTATTTACCTAAATGTTGTTATTTTTTTCATACGAATATTTTTAGTTTTATTAATAGATGCCTTATAATATATTAAATGTAGGGAAGTAGGTGTGAAAATATGATATCGCCATATTTTTACTTAAGTGGGGGCCCCCACGTGTCTGATATAAATATGTTTAAATAAGTTGAGCCCCTCCAAGTTAAAATTGAAATTGCTACTATAAACGTACTCAATATTATTTATAAATGTATGGGTACCTATATAACCTCAAACCTATAGGTTTACAACTCACTGGGTACCTATAATATTTTTTTCTAAACCATAAAATTAATTTCAAGACTTGTGTACCTAAAAACAAACATGTATGTACTCCTACATATAGAATTAACATATATTTAAACAGGTGAGGGGGAGGATGCTTAGGGTTTTTATTTTGATTAATAAATTATTTTTATTCCCTCTGGTTTTTTACCCAGGCAATGCATATGCGTATAACAACGTTTCTTAAACTGTGTTCAGGTCACTCCGGGGTTCCTTGAAAGTTGTGTTTTTTTCAAAATTTAAAATTTAAGCACATTATTATAACTTTTATTATAAATAATCCTTGCATGAAATGACACTTTCAAAATATTGAAACAAAGTATTGGTTCTAATTGTCGAGCTGTAATACCTAACTAATTGTTGAAAAAAAAAAGTTGGGGTTCCACAATAAAAGTGCACATAAAAAAAGATTCCAAGGATAAAAAAGTTTAAGAAACGCTGGTGTATAGAAATGAATAGACTTGATAATTGTAATCTCTTTCTACCCATGGTGCATGCTCAACACAAGAAATTTGTATTCAACACTAATAAAAGTATAATAGTACCTATATCAAACTAAAATGTACATTGGCTATTTTACGATACTTCAATTTTGAAGCGAGATATATATAATCGTAACATTTTACATTATATGATTAATAATAAATATAATTTATAACTCTCTCCGCACTTCCTACAGCAATGTTTCTGCACCATTAGGATTTGGCCTTTACTTCAGCTATTAAATTTGCATAATAGGTAACATTAAATAATAATTTTATGTTTCAGGCTCTTTATACAAAAACACTTATAGCAAATTTAAAAAGTAATTGCTTGGATAGTAGTATAAATCAAGAGGTAAATATAATTATATATATATATATATATATATTTCATGCTATGAAAGAGGACTCCTAATCCACTTACAAATTAAAATAATTTAAAAATCCAACCTTAGATCACAGATAATATTTTTACATTTAAGTTTGATCATTGGTCGAATTCGAATCACTTAAATATTAACGCTGATACATTCATTCTACTGAACTCAAATTTGCGTTGTAGTACCTTGTACATTTGGAAGACGGTTTGGGTGGCACTGGCATCCTCTGAATATACAAATTTAAATTATATATTTCATATTTTTAAAATCATATTATTTATTTATGTATATATTTCTTTGAATTGTGTTAAATAATCGGTCTATACAGGCAGTCAATAATCAATTGACTTAAATAATTATAGAAAAATAATTTATTATGTAGAATAAATTGCAAACACGGTTTTGCTGAAAAAATTATATTATTGAACTTCATAACCGTCATTTATTTTTCTTACAATTTAAAATGTATACTGCAAATAGCTGTGGAAAGTGCATAATATACAACTGTGCTAATGCAGTAATTGTGGATGGTTAATAAATTATTGACCCAGTACACCCAGACGGCCAAATTATTTTATAGTTCCATAAAATTACACTCTTTTATCCTAGACTTAAATTATAATGTCGATGATGTTTTTAACTTTAAAATTAATATTAATTATACATTTATTGTTTTTTTTTTTATGCAGCTTCATTTGTTTTTGGACCAACTTTCTTATAGTTCAGTCGAATTCACAGCATGTGATATATTTACATTAAATATTCGTCTCATTATTTCAGTAAGTTTAATATTTATATTTAGAGGTAGAACTATATTATTTTATTAATTTTATGTAATAAATATTTTTATTTGGTAGTAAAAAAAAACAATCTAGGTATATGTAATTCTACTTTTATTTTTTATTTGTTATTGTTTAAAGACTTTTGCTGCGGGTTTGACTTATCTTGTCATCTTGATACAATACCAGACAAACATGAAAGTATGAGAAGTTCCACATACAGATTAAAACTAGCAACTTGGTCTGAAATATTAAGTTATTTTAAAGTTTTGTAAATTTAGGTTTATGATATATTCTGTAGGTGAGTATTATATATTAATATATTATATAGAATTGTAATATATATCAGTAGTCACTAATCAGTACCTATAAATATTAAATATATATAATAATTGAACGCCATGACAATAATGTGTATTATAAATCAAAATTATCTTTTTAAAATACAAGGTAAAGTGTAGTGTTTCAATATTCCAATCAAATATTAACCCTGAATTATAAATCATTCTAAAAAATATTGTATAAGATATTGTAGGTACCTACATTTTAGATTTTGTGCGTTGAAAATCGAGACCACTAAACCTTCTAAAGCTAAGTACCTATATTTTACAATTTTGTTTATTTAGGCTATGACAGCGTGATTGTCTAGCAAAGCAAGGGAAATGTTGGATATAAGTGTTGACATTAATTGAAGTGCTTGCCTTGAAAATATCAGGCAATTCATGCTGTCTATATCTTATATTAGTGATTCTCATCCGGAGTGACACTATAATAGTGTGTCACGGATTACAGACTACAGTGATGTGTGTCGCCAAAAAATGTTTAATTATATTTTTTTTTTTTTTTTTTTT